AAAAAAAAAAAAAAAAAAAATTGGGGTTCCCCATGCTTCTCCATGCTCAACGAGATGCGACAATCTCAGGATGCTTTACTCCTAACCAAGTTGTTCATAATTTTTATAAAGTACTTTCTACAAGTACCTTAAATTGCTTATTTGTTCTATACAACAGGAGTTGCAAGAGGAAGTGGGTGGCAGCATTTGGGAGCATATGTTAATCTTGGGTCATTTTATCTTGTTGGAATACCTGTTGCCATATTATCTGGCTTTGTACTCCATTTTCAAGGAAAGGGTCTTTGGTTTGGATTAAATGTGGGAAATTTAATGCAATCTCTTCTGCTTTCCTTGATAACAAGTTTTACAGATTGGAAAAAGCAGGTGCTTTTCTTAGAAAATATTTCTGTTTATTGAATTAATTAACACCCTTGGAAATGACTTTTGTGACTAATAACATTCTTATTTGGCTTGCAGGCATCAAAAGCTAGGGAAAGAATCTTTTATTGAATAAGTATTGACGACTACTTGATAGCTAAGTCAAAAGGAAAACATCTGTTTGGTTATTTTAACATACATCATATACCACTTTACAATTTTCTCAGGCAATTAATAGTATCTTGTAGCAACTTTGACAAATTATATTGTTCAATTTCAATAGTCTAATTGCGAATGAAGAGCTGAAATCTAAGTATGGTGTTGGAAGAGGTTTATCCATAATAAGGTTTAGACAAACTGACATTTAATATGATATCATTGGAACTGCATGACCAGTAGTGCAGGCAATAATTTCATCAAGGAGATTCAAAAAAAAAATCTCATTTCTGGATAATTTAACAATTTATANTGAGGAAGAAAGAAAGGTATCCATATGCACAAATTTTCTAAATCAGTGAGGTTTAGGACAGTCTCGAACGAGGGAGGTTCTCAACGAAAATATTTGGAAGGTAAACAAGCTAAATTTAAAGCCGGACAAGTACGGAGTGAGGATGCATAAATATATACATAACAGTAGTTGCCAAAATGCCTTACAAATAGAAACACCTTGTAACTAGGGGTGGGAATAGTTTGGGCAAATTCGAAATCCAAACCGAAATTTGAATTTTTGTGATTTTTGGTTTGGATCGAGTTACGAATTGGATTTTGAATTTAATTTTTAAAATTTTTAGATTTCAGATTGGATATTGGATTTGGTATTTCGGACTTTTGGATATTCGAAAATCCAAAATTTCTACACTTTATATTTAGTCCATTATCCATATGCAATAGTAATAAGTTCAATTCCCTATCCATTGGATATTATCTCATATATTTAATATTAATTACTAAGTTACTGTTAGAATACTTTCTATTTGGACATGATTTTACTATTGCTACTTCTTATCGGTCATATTAATGTTTCTGTTTTATTCTTTTGATAATAATTTCATTACTTGAATACTTTATTTGGATGATTGCGGCAGACAATTTAACGTGAGTACTTCATTTGGATATTCATTTCTTGGTAAAAAGTAGAAACATCTTAATTTATACACTCAAAATCGAAAATCCATAATATCCAAACCAATTAATCCGAAACCGAACTTAAAAAATCCGATCCAATCCACTATGTGGATTGGGTTTGGATTGTCGTTTTTTCAATCCGAAATCAAAAGTCCAAATCAAAATTCTCATATCTTATCTGAACGCCCACCCCTACATGTAACTATAAAAAAGGAAGAACAGGACTAGTCATAATTGGAGGTAGCGGATTCGAGCGAGAAAAAATTTCGGAAAAAAGTGCTTCCCCTTTTAATGAGACAGGACCTATGCGAATTAGGCCAGAAAGTTGCTGATACATATGGTTATACATCCCCCTCCCACCTCCCCCCCCAAAAAAATAAAAAATAAAGAGGAATAAAGTTGGACATCCATGCATAAAGAAAGCCACAAATAAAAGGCTATCGTGTTACAAAAACAGATGGAAAAAAAATTTGACGTAGTAAAAGCAAGAGAATAGAGAAACAGTTGAGAAAAGATAAGAACTTATTTTTTCAATCAAACTAACGTACGTTGAAGCTCTGCAGATGACCTCTATTTATAGGCTCTCAAACATCATGTTTAACAATGGGGTTACTCATATGGAAGTTACTCCAGAGTTATGAACATCCAGAATTATGTTACTGAACATATACAACTAGAAGATTTTCGTCCCCTCTAAACTGACGAGAAATATACGACCTTCAGCCAATCTGACACTATCAAAAAAGGTAAAAAGAATAAAGGAACAAAACGAACAAAGATTGTAAAATCAGAAAACTGAAGATATCATTCTCTGTTACTAATAAATACGACTATATATACCTGAATAAACATTAGACCACGAAAAATTAGAAAGGAAAGTTTAACCTTCAGCCATGTAGACGCTTACTAGAACCATAACGCAAAAGAGACCATCTTACAGTAGTCAAGTTTCAGAAGGCAGGCATTTCCTACATCTATATACAAGATAATTACATAATATCATACTTAACACTTCCTAGAACCAAAACATCAAAAGAGACCTTCTTACAGTAGTCAAGTTTCAGAAGGCAGGCATTTCCTACATCTATATACAAGATAATTACATAATATCATACTTAACACTTCCTAGAACCAAAACATCCAAAGAGACCTTACAGTAGTCAAGTTTCAGAAGGTAGGCATTTCCTACATCTATATACAAGATCACATATTTACATATCATATGCACAAAATTCAACCCCCAAATTTCCATGTCACATGGTACCAAAGCTGCAACCAACATGATCCTGGGTGATTATGTGAAGTCGCTTTTGCATGACGTCCTTGGACGGATAAGGAGGAAAACATAGTTGGTAGAAGCATGTGTGCGAGGAAGGCAAGCAATCATAAGAGTCCGTGGTTTTGTAGATGTATAGTTTAGAAGCCAAACCACCAAAACCCTCTACAGGCAGAGACTTAATTGAAGTCCAGAAGAAGAGAAGCACCTTTCTCTGCTCCGCAGACATACCACTAACTATCTGCAGCAATGGAAAAGAAAACTTTGAAAATGCAGCCCAATGCAAACACTTTGATAAGAATAGAATTCAGAAATCTACGACTTTAAGAAACAAAGAAAGAAAGAGAAATTGAAAGGGCAAAGGTGTAAACTTCTCAATATTGTGGAAACATAGTTAGTAGTAGAAGAGAAACGTGTACCTTCCAGAACCAGGATATTTGAGGATCACTTTCTTTGTAGCCTTTGTAATTGGTATGTGCTCTCCAGTCTTCTACAGAAATATCACTTTTGCTCCCATGAAGAATCGAGTCAAGATCTTCAGGATCTAAGATCCGGAAAAAGGATCTTCGGAGCCATGGGTGAGTAATTACGTCCGCAAAACCTCGAGCAAAATGGGTTACCTGCGGAGCAATTGAAGTGACAAAGCGGTGTTGGATAAGAAGATTAACATATTTATTCCTGTTCTCACTGTTCACTACGGTATCTTGCCCATTGGGGCAAAGCTCAACCACTTTCCTGGACCCCAATTCTTCAATTTCACAAACAAATGTCAGGCCTAGAGCATCTTGATCCACCATCTCCGGATCCATCTCCAGTATCTTCTTGCAGCTACTGTACAAGTATGGATCTGCATCCTTAATGTCTTCCAATGAAATATTCTTTCCAGCTAATTTGAAATAGAATAAACCAACATCACAGGCTCCAGCTAGTAGCAAAAAGAACACACGATCAAACGCAATGCTGATTTGTATTTTATGCAATAAGGCCAATGCAATCATCCTGCCAGCGAAGACAAAATACTCAAGGTGCAGTGGGTCCACCTTAGATGCTGCAAGCACAAAATGCAGATGAGGGTTATTTACATCGTAGAAGAGATAATAATATTACTTCTCGTGAAGCATCAAAGATTATCCCTAACAGCATGGAATCATCTTATTACTACAGTTCTGCTTCAACATTCATCCTAAACTGGAGCACTCTGGTGGAGTAAACTCCCAGTTGTCTTACACATAATAACTGTGGTGTCCGAAAATAATGATAATATGACTCCGAAGAACTCATATGCTGCACAATCCAACTACTCTTAATGCAACATCATAAATATGACATGAAGTCCTCAGATCATTATTTCATAACCTTTATCTGATTGCCAGCAACTCATTGAATTTAGTTCCTTTTGGCATTGTTGAGGACCACTGGCTCTAATACCGAATTCTGATGTCTCAAATCATCAATGACTTTGCAGCTTCCAGAAGATCTAAAAGACTAAAACAAGGGATGATCTTTGAGCTAAGCGTAACAACAAAATAGTGAGAGAAAAGATGAATTTTTTTGGCACTGCTTCCAAGAAGATCTATAATGTACATGAATTGACATTTAAGATGCTCCCCTCTTCCCTGTCTGCAACTAACAACTCAACCCCCTAACTGAATAACTGAAAATAAAAGAGAGCGACAACTAACTCCTGCGTAGGGGTGTGCATTCGAATCGGTGTGCATTCGAATCGGTTTATCGATAAATCGAATCGATTATTTGTTATCGGTTTATCGATTTCGATTTCGATTTGGAAATTTTCCTTATCGAGTTATCAATTTCGATTTCGATTTTGTCCTCTTCGGTTATCGGTTTATTGATAAACCGATAAGATATACTAATTTTTTTTTTTTTTACCCTTATTCTATAATACCCTTTCCTTTACCCTAAAAGTCTCTAACCCTATTATTTCATCTACCACATTTAAGGAATGATCATATTTAAAGCTTAAGGGAATGAAGTTCAAATTAATGGAAAATAGAATTAGCCGTGATGATGTATTTTTATTTTTTTTATACCGTTGGAGGCATACATTTGATCCCTTACTTTAGTTTCGTTGCAAGTGCTTGTTGACACAATTTTTATGTTATAAACGGTGTTCGTCTTATTTTAGCTTCATTTTGTCCATATTAATTAGGCGTGTTTAAGCGATATACTTTCCGTGGAATCCCGCAAATTTTCTTATTGGTGTAATCGATAACCGAATCGATAAGCCCCAAAAATCGATAAATCGAAATTCGAAAAAATCGAAACCTTATTGAAACGATACAACAACAACAACAACAACAACGACCCAGTATAATCGATAATGATAAGCATATGTACAAATCGATAATCGATAAGTAATTATCGATAAGGGTCAAAATCGAAAGCACACCCCTACTCCTGCAAAAGGACTAAACCATGCCTCATTAACCCAATACAATGACTCAATTATCTCTGCTTATTAACTAATCGTAACACAGAACTTGTCATAAATTAATCCCACCTAGATACAAGTTCAGAAAGGGGGATAATAGGGGGAGATTGAGAGCGTCGTGACCCCAAATTCAACAGACAAGCTAAAACTATATCACAGATTTTCAAGGAGAGTGCAAACTCTATAACTTGACCAACCAGGCTGTGTTTAGCATCTAACAAATAGCAGCGTGCACACGACCATCCAGATTGCATATAAGACGAGAGTTTTACTTGCCTTATTAAACAAAATATAAAACATTTTCCTTCAGTTCACCTCATAAATAACTGCTCACATGATTGGGTTCAACATGCTTCTATTCTCCATTTTGCTTTCTCTATCACCTAAAAGTTGCTAAAGCGGAGCGTCCTAGCATTTAGTCATTTAAAATATTTGGTACTAGTATTTTTTCTTTTCCTTTGTTTTTACATTAAGCTAAAAGGACTTCATATAACTGCACACAGTGGTTGCATATAAAAAGAAATGTACAGACTCCTAAATTTTGGATGCCTTTTTAAAGCTGTAAGGAATCAACAAACAGCTACATCATCCATAGAAGCAAATTTACACCAGAAAGCAAACTATTGTAAGCACGAGGATTTCAAGCTACATAAGGAATTTGCACCCCCTTAGAAATTCCACCAGATTGCTGCTGGAATGGCATCCCAAGTCTTTATGAAAAGATATCTTTTGTACCAACCCTGCTAAAAATTCTGTTATAGTCATGATCCATTCGAAACCTTAGCAAATTAAGGATCATGCTCTATGTCTAGGATACTGTTTTCCAATGGGAGAAAAGATGATTCACCTATGGCAGATACGTAGCCCTTTCATCGGGAGATTATTCTGTCTAAGGCATACCTCATTAGGCACCAACCAAGTGAATCATTAAACTTTATACCCAGAATTACCTTCATGGCTAACTATAGAGGGCAAATCTACCTTTAGTCAAAAGTGTATAGCAAGATTAAACAGTAAGGAGACCATTTGTTTATCCTTTACGAACCAAGGTGCCAGGCTTAACCTGTAGTTGGAGCTGCTGCACAGTTGTTCTAAAAGCTGATATAATCTTTATATTTATCTGATCTGCTTATGTTCCTTTTAAGGACGATTTTCCATCCTTGATTGGAATAGTCTGCAATGAATGCTTTTGGGTCGGCAACATAGTTATACAAATCTGAGAAGGGGAGTGTGGAAACCTAATCATGTTTCAAGCAGTGTCTCATACAGTAAAAGATGCTAAACACTCCGAAATTTCTTTCTCAGTGGGTTTTACCTTTCCATGTATTCAACCAGGATCTTTTTTTCTATCCCCAACCCTTCCTCAAATCCTTTATCCTTAGGAATAAAAGTTCATTTTGCTTACTATTATTTTAACACAGAGACAGGTGCAATCCCACGGTCATTAGTAAGTCAAATCAAACGGTTACAGACACAAAAGTATAAAAAATTTGAATTGAAGAAGTAGAGATGCTACAAGATATGAGCTAGTCTTGTCCAAGGCTATAACCAATACACTTCGGGATAGCTTAATTTATGTAGCAAAGAAACAGTAAGTGCAAAGCAATCATGGCAAATTCATGCAGACGGAGACGTCATGGACAAAACCACATTATGGGTATTTTCAGCTAGTTGAATTCTCCTTTATACAGTTGAATTCTCGTTGATACTGTACGAGTTATAACCCTTTCTCCCAATTCGATTCGTTGGGACAAAGTAAGAAATAAAAGCAGCCACATCAAGCAAGCTTGCAAGATCTATAGAAGGAGAGAGAAAGAAAATGAATAAATAAGTATTACACTACTATTATAACCTTCTCATATCCACAAAGATTCAACCTCATTTTCATACTCTTTTGAAAAAAGAAAATAAGAAACCTCTTTCATACTCAAAAACTGTAAACCCGCGCTAATAAAAGAGATGAGCGAGAACAAAATGTCGTGTGCATAAAAGGCAACAAAAACTTACCTGGATTTGGGAAAAACCTTCTACAGTCTTTCGGGCAAGAAACAAAGAGAGCATTCTGAGGGTTGAAAATGGCTTGAATTACCAAGTAAAACCACTCCCTCACCACACCAGGTCCAGTAGCTTCTTCATTCTTGAATTTCAAAAATAAATTGCGGCCCAGCACTCTAGGACCTGCATGTCTAATGTACTCAAATGATTCTTCCAACAAATGGGACCTGTCAATGAGCATCTCATATAGTTCCTCGTTCTTGCCACTCCCTTCACGCAACATCATCATGGCGAAATCCCGCCTTATCTCAAAATTGACGATCTCCTTGTTCTCAAGAATCCACTGATAATCTCTAGACCTTTTTGAGAGTTTAACTATGAGAAAGCACAATGGAACTCTTCTTTGCCTCATCCTCTTCCAAAAGCCTTCCTCCAAACCCTTATACATTTTTGAAATCCTATGTAATGCCTCTAGAATTACAAGATACTGAGACCAACATAGTACATTAGGCTCATCTTTTTCTTTCTCTTTCAAACCCAGTCGTGTTTCTAGTTTCTCTAAACACAGCTCCAATTTGTCCAGCAAATCACAGAAAATATGATGCAAACCTTCAATCTTTTCTTTGTAATTGTGCATCACAAATCTTTTACTTCCTGCTTCACTATTACCTTTCTCCGTTAAAGGGAAAGTGAACGGACAATCAAATGCTTTTTGACACAATAATGCACTCCTTACCGGATGCATGAACTCAATAAACTCATGCACATCGCTACATGATAACCCCACAAACTCGGCTGAGCCCATGCTCAATTCTAAAGTACGCGATAACCTAGCTGCTAACTCACGGACTAAAGGAAAAGAATCCTGCAATGGTAACACATCCATAGCATCCGCGTCATACCAATCCATTATATCCGCTAAACTACTCCGACAAAAGCCATACAAAGCATCATCAACACCAGCAGCACCTCTCAGAAGCTTACAAAACTCTAACACTATATGAACACATTGCGCATATATGCTATCCGACAAAAGTTTCTTACACAATTTTATGAATTCACGAATGCATTCATCAGCTGTGTCTTTGTTATTAAACTCAGAATTAGAAGGAGAGACATAAAGCTTTACCAAATGCGCAGGCACAGATGAGTAGATAAATATTCGAAGATATTCCTCAGATTTAGTTTCATCCTTTGGAGTCATTGTGAGAATTTTGCTAAGCATCTTCTTAATTAGACGGCCTTCGGTACTATTAGAAATGAGTGCAATTAATTCACTCATCAGCTTCCACGTCAGCGGGTGGCGCGTGCTTCGCATTCGCCCGACGAGTTGTAAGCTCGCGTCCTGTTGTACATCACACACCGCTAGGGTTTGCTCCAACTGAAGCTGCTTCCCCTTGTAGATTAACCGTTGATCGATTCCTGGTACTCCGAAGGACTTCGTCATTGTTCGGATTCCGGTGATCGACTCGATTTTTCTGTGAACTGATAAAACTGTGTCGGTGGAATCGGCTTGAAGGACTAGGGTTTTGTTGACACCGGAAAATAAACGGACGAAGAACTGAAGGCGAGTTGACGGAGGAGAGGAGGAAGGGAGAGCTTCGTCTTTCCGCACTCTGGCGGCGGGAGGTAAGGCGGCGCCGGCTTCGGCGGCATAATCATCAAACTGGCGTTTGAACTGAGTGTGATACGTCATTGATAATTCTACGGTACGACTGAGAACATCATAAGCAAGAAGAGGGTGTTTGCGTCATGGCCGAAAATGGGAGATACTATTTATTTTGGGAAAGTTAAAGGTTTAATGTTTCAACAATGTATCTATAGGTTCCATATATATGGCATTTGCAAGTTCCACCTCGAAGTTTGTGCAGCTTCCATTAAAGTGCTACTGTTGAAAGAATAAGAGTAATTATTTGCTTGTATACTATAGTCCCTCCGGTCCGCAACAAGTAAAGGTGTCTAACGGGTGGGCTGGATAGGGAATAGTTGGAACCCTACGGGTTTGGAACCAGGCTTATTATGGGTTAGGAGTTACTGGGCTTAACGGGTTCGGGTTCATCCGGGTAAAAAATGAATCATAAGGGTTACGGGTACAAGGGACCGACCCGGGCCGGGTTAGTGTAATTTTTAATTTTTTTTTGTATTTTGTATACTATTGTAAGTTATATTAATATACAGTAAAAATATAAAGAATACAATGAAGATGGAAAAAAATTGCACTTATAAATTGCAAATGCTACATTTATTTCAAAATTCAAACTTACAAATTGAAAGGTTTACATTTAACAACAAGTAAATTAACGAAAAAAGAGTAAATTCAAAGGTTTTGCATTGCCTTAGTAAGTTCTTCATAATTAATATGAACTGATTGGCCTTCTTCTGGAGTGTTAAATTCAGATGGGGAGTCTTAAATTCAGATGGGTTACCATGTGTTAATATATCTCCAAGTTCCTCGTCTTCTAGGCTATCAACATCTTCACATCCTTGATTTCTTCGTTCCAATCTAATCCAATCTCTGAAACATACGAAAACTTCCAAAGCATTACTTCCCAATGAGTGACGGGTGTCTTCAAGTTGTGTCTTGCTTGGCTAAATGCACTCTTTGATGCAACAGTTGAAATTGGCACATTCAGCACGTGCCGAGCCATAGCGGAAAGAACAGGAAATTGCATTCCATTCTCATGCCAACATCCCAACGGTGAAAATTCCTTTGTGTGAGGCTCTTTTTGCTTTTGCAAGTAGAATTGAAATTCATCAATGTTCCTGCTACTAGTTTGAGTTTCAGAAAATGTAGAAAAAAAATTGAAACTATCAAGGCCTTCATGATTATCCACAGTAGTAGAAGTGGTACAATGCATAGTGGGATTAACATTGCATACATTAAGAGTAGCATCATCAATTATATTTGTATAATAATTATATATAATTATAATAAAGAATCATTCAGCTTGTTCATACAAACATATATATTTAGGGTTTCAGTTGTTCCAATCTCCATATAAGTATATAAAGCATTGATTAATTGGTGACCATCAGACATCTTAATAGAAGGATTTAAAACAGCACCAATTCAGAAATATGTGTAGAGGTTATTTAAATTACTACCAGATGCTAAAATACTACCTCTTTTTTTGTTTCCCTGATTAGTAACCTTATTACAAACTCTTTTGCAGCATTAAACATATAGTAAAAATTTAACTACTAGCAAAAGTTAAATATGCAAATAAAATACTAAATAAGAGAAAGAGTTGGAAGGAGTGCACCGAATTCGGTAATAAATTGAACACTTGATGATTTCTCAACTCCAATTTTACCACGAAGAAACGTCAATTATTCAAACTCAAACTTCAAACTTCAAATAATAAATAATACGATAAATGAAATTCCAAAAAAATGAGAGTCAAATACTTGATTGCGCTTTAGGTAAAGAATGAGAGAATGATAATTGAGAATATGAGTTTGAGAAATGAGAGATGAGCAAAGAAATGAAGAATAGGAGGTGTATTTATAGTTTTTCAAAGCGCTAATTAGGTAATTACAAAAGGTATTGTTTTTTTTTTTAAAAAAAAAGGCCCAAAAATGGGCTATTTGTGCAAAACTGCCGTTAGGCAACGACCCTTTGGCCTTGTAGACCGTTGCCAACGGTCAGAAAGTTAGGACCAATTAAAAAAGAAAAAAGAAATTGAAAGTAGCCATTATACCGGTCCGGGCCGGTTAACCGGTTCTACAGTAAATAGCGTTGACCGGGTTTGACCGGTCCGGTTAACCGGTGGAATTTAAGTGATCGAACCAACCCCCTTACCCCATTAACCTATCCCACCCGTCCCCCTTTGTACTGGTCCGGGCCGGTTCCGATTTCAACCAGTCTGGACCGGTCCAAAAACGGGTTGACCCGGCCCGTTAGACACCTTTAACAATAAGTGATCAATTTGCTTTTTTATTTTGGTCCAAAATAAGTGTCCATTTATATAATAAAAAAATTCAATTTGTTTTTCTAAAATTACTCTTATATATGTATCCCTAAAAAGTCATTTACTCTACACATATGAGAAGAGAAGTAAGTACTACTATAACTATGTGTAACGACCCACCTGGTCGTTTTTCCTTTTAGAACCTCGTTCCCTTAAATAAAACTTTTCATGCCTGCTTTAGCTAATTTACGACTTGCGGTGACGGTTGGTTCGGGATTTGGAAGAGTTTGGAGTGAAAAATGCTCATTTGATTCCTTAAGGATTTTCTTAAAAAGCTAAGTTTGACTTTGGTCAACATTTTGAGCAAACGGACCCGGATTTGTGATTTGACGGTCCCAAAAGGTCCATAGAAAAATATGGCACCTAGGCATATGCCCGGAATCGAATTCCGAGGTTCCTAGCCCGAGTAATGAATTTTTATTAGGAATTGTTAATTTGAAGTTTTAAGGATTTAAAGAAACTAAGTATTGATTGATTTTATAGGTATCGGGCTCGTATGTTGGTTCTGAAACCCGGTACAGGTCCGATATATCATTTAAGACTTGCCCGTAAAATTTGATGTCAATCTGAGTAGTTTAAGGGCATTTTGGCCCGTTAGAGGAAAATTAAGAACTTGAAGTTCATAAATTTGATTCATTTGGTTTTAGGGTTGATTATTAGATTTAGCGTTGTTTTGGGTGTTCCGAAGGTTCGAGTAAGTCCGTCTCGTGATTTCAGACTTGTCGGTATGTTCGGGCGGGGCCCGGGAGCCCCGAGCGTCAATCGGACGAGGCTCGGGTGAAGTTGAAGTTTTTGAGAAGTGCTGAAGCTGCTGCTTCTATCATAACCGCACCTGCGTTTGGTGGACCGCAGGTGCGAGACCACAGATGCGGTCCATCTATTGCAGATGCGGCCCAGGGAAAGCCAGGCCAAACCGTAGAAGCGGCTCTCGAACCACAGAAGCGGTTCCGCAGAAGCGGCCTCAAGACCGTAGAAGCGGTCCCAGCCCTTTTTGGCCCCTTTCGTAGATGCAGTCCTTTTCTCGCAGATACGGTCCCCTGACCGTAGATGCGGATATCGCTGAGGCAGTAAGTTCATTTATTACGAGTTCTAAGTCCATTTTTGCCATAGTCCACTCCTCCATTGGGCGATTTTAGAGCTTTTGAGAGAAGACCTTCACATAGAATCTTGAGGTAAGTGTGTTCTACCTATTTTCTAGTTTAATATTTATGTCTTAGGTAGGTTAAACGCTAGTATTAAGGTGAAATCATGGGGGTTAGAGTAAAAACCTAGGATTTTGACAAGAGTTGAATTTGACCACGAAATTTGTTATGAAATTAATTAGAAATCATATATTATTGATCCTTGGGTTATGAAGAACAACTTCCCTTGAAAAATCTCGAAATTCGGGCACGTGGGCCCGGAGTCGGATTTTAGGAAATTGGTGTTTAAGGGGGGAAATTGCTTAAATAGTTAGAATATGATCTTGTAAGCTTGTATTGACTAGTTCCTACCTCGTTTAACTAGTTTTGGATCGTTCGACTCCAAATTGAGGGCTTGGACTCGTTCTTGGTATTGGAAGTGCACTTTGGAGCGAGGTGAGTCTCCTTTCTAACTTTGTAAAAGGGAATTGTCCACATAGGTGTAATAATGAAATTAATTGTTATTATATGCGGGGGCTACGTACGCACAAGGTGACGAGAGTTCGTGCGTAGCTACTATTATGTTAGGTCCGGGTAGTCTAGGACCCAAAAACAAGCTCTACGTGATATCTTTGTAACTCGATGATAAATTCGGCTTCGTATAATTATGTTGATTAAGGTAATTGAGACTAGTAGAGGGACCTTATCTTGCTTGGTCTTTTTAAAAGAGAATTCGAATATTCTTGTGTGTAACTATTCCTTAGATATACATTATTGTCTGCTTGTTGACGAAGTTATTTATATTTGGCTGCGTCGCACATGTGATTCGCGAGCGGGGTAATAAATGCATCTATGGTTCAAGCCATTCGACCCTCGGCAGTGCACAATTTAATTTTATGTTGGATCGGGTTGTACGTCCCTCGATGTTACTTGCTCATGCTTTACCTAGTATTTCTCAGTGGGCTGAACTTCATATATGCCTTGAAATGTAAATGGATACCCATGATATTATTTGGAAAAAGAACTGTTATTCATTGCCATAAGACGTTAATAAATTGTGCTATCCATGCTTATTATAAATTCTTCTCATATTATTTGACCCTAGTAAGTATCAAGTCGACCTCTCGTCTCTACTTCGAGATTAGACGGGATACTTATTGGGTACATATTGTTTATGTACTCATACTACACTTTTGTACTTAGTTGTACAGGATCTGAGGCAGGTGTATCTATCTATCAGTCTGGTGCGCATCCCTGAGCGGGCTTCGAGACTTCTACGGTGAGTTGCTTCCCTTCCATGCCGTTCAGCAGCCTGAAGAAGTCTTTCTTATGTATTTTTTTGTTGTCTATTCTGTTTCAGACAGTAGGATAGTGTGATTCTTTTGTATATTCAACTAGTTGCCCATAACTTGTGACACCAGGTCTTGGCACGCACATTAGTAGACTGTATTATTTTGGGGTTGTATGATTATTTTGACTTTACTGATCATTTCTGATTTTTATTTCAACTTAAGGAATTATTTCAACTATTTTGGGTAAAGGTAAATGGAAGTTATTTAGTATTTTTCCGCGTTGGCTTGCCCGTCAATGGTGTTGGGCGCCATCATGACCTATTATGGAAATGAGTCGTGACAACTTGGTATCAGAGCACTAGGTTCACGTAGGTCTCACAAGTCATGGGCAAACCTAATAGAGTCTTGTGGATCGGTACTGAGATGTCTGTATTTATCTTTAAGAGGCTATAGGGGGTTAGGAAAACTACTATTTATTCATTTTCTATCGTGCAGTG